TCCAGAGACTTTTACATGCAGCACATTCCTGTTTCAGGTACCCAATTATGAAGTAGAATTTGTGCTATCTGGTCATACAAAGGCAGTGTCCTCTGTGAAATTCAGTGCAGATGGCTCGTTACTGGCCACTTCCGGTGCCGATAAAACAATCAAAATATGGAGTACTTGTGATGGAAGGATTGAGAAGACGATCACTGGGCATAAATTAGGCATATCGGATATTAGCTGGTCCACCGATCAACGACTGATAACATCCTGTTCGGACGATAAAACACTGAAAATTTGGGATGTCCTCAGCGTACGTTTTTTTTATGCGTTTTTTGCATCTATGCAACGCAGAAAACGCATATTGACGAGAGGTTGTTCGTGTCTGTCTCTGTGTGTATGTGTGTGTGTGTGTGCCTGTGTATCGATTTTTCATCTCGAGACCTACAAAAACTACAGGGCTGAAACTTTGGTAACTTAATCTTCATGCATGTACGGGCCCCGTCCCCAAAATGGGTGGTTTTACCCGCATGATAACCACGTGCGGGCTAGTGAAAGTTTTTTGCGGGGAAGTCGTTAACTCAGGAACCAAAAAAGCTAGAAAGCTGAAATTTTAAACGGGTGCTTCCTGACAGCCCTGGCGGCCAGTCTCAATTCTTTTAGCTGGAAGCATTTGCCGGAAAAACTGGTGCCGGTGGCGACAAAAACTGCGGGGAACTATGTAAAAAACTCATCTTCGCACCGGCAGTCAGTACTTTGGCCAGTTACTCTACACCGATTAGATAGCATGGCTTGCCCTGAACAGTCATTGTATCATTGATGGCATATTTGCTCGTCGATGCCTTTCCATGGTCGCTTTGACTAAGAATGCTTCATTTGGTAGCAGCATATTGCTGGTGGTCCTGACATTAATTTTCCTAAATTTCTTCTCTGATCTGCTGGAGAGAAATTCCGAGAAATACCGCATTCTGTCGATGTCCTGTTTGGTTTTATCAAGTAAACCACGTGCTAGTGTTATATCACGCATACAAGTGTTTTTTTAATGAAAACTGTTTACAAGTACAGTGTTAGCCGTAGTTACACCTTGGGGGTAATTACTAGTTATTTAAAAAATTAGGCCTTTTTTTTTCCTGCCAAATGTGCTTTTTCTTTAATGCATAAGTTAGTTATCAATCGCTTTGGGTACCATTAATCGCTTTAGCCAGATAAAGCAGATTCTTGGACTGCATTCAAGAAAAATTTTCGGACCAGGGAAGATCACTGAGGAGGAGTCACTCGAATATCCTCGATGGATTTATGCATATGCAACAGGCACGAAGAAGGGAAGAGCAATTTTGGGACCAGGGAGGATCATTGGGGAGGAATCACTCAAATATCTTATATGGATTTACGCGTATGCAACAGGCACGAAGAGGGGATTAGTAGGAGAAGTTACGAGCCCTACCACCAGCAGGAAGGAGGAAAATAGTCATGGGTGGAAGTAAAATACGTGTTATTTTCAGTGCAAGTGCATGAAAACATTGAAAGGCCACAGCAATTATGTGTTCTGTTGCAATTTTAACCCGCAATCTTCGCTGATTGTGTCTGGCTCATTCGACGAGAGTGTTCGGGTCTGGGATGTGAAGACTGGCGCCTGCATAAAAACACTCCCGGCACATTCGGACCCCGTCTCCGCTGTT